GAGGGGGACAAGGAGGCACCCAGAAACCAGGGTGGATGTATCACTGGTGGGCAGACTTGGGACCACAGGCATCGTGGCCTCTGCAGGCAGCAACTAACTGCCCTGCAATTTTTCCTGCATGCCCTCCAACCCGTAATGCACACCTGGGACGGCCTGGGCCTCTGTTTTATTTAGGGGAGGAGCTTCACACCAAGCTGGGAGGGACTAAAACAGGATACAGCTAACATCAGTAATTTTCCAGACATTCAGGTAACTTTACTTTGTATGTCGCTGGTTCGAATCCCAGGCCAGCAACTTGGTTTCTCAGGCTCAATTAACATATCTATAGCCCCTGAGCTCAGTTGGGGGAAGGTGAGAGGTAAGGACAAAAGCTTGGGCGGAGTCCCGCTGTTTTGGCTTCCTGAGCCAGGTCTGCAGGAGGACCGCGAGACCCAGGTGAATGGGCAGCACCTGGAAAAGGATTAGGGAAGATGGTTTTTTTTGTCTGTAGAACAAAGAACTGCGAAGTAGCTAAGATATTTTTAGTTAATCCTTTGGAGAAAGGCTTGACCTTTGAAACCTTTAGTCTCGGCTTTAGGAGGTTCTAATATTTCTCTGTGGATAATAAGGGCTCATGTCTGCATTTAATAAAATATAACTGGATATTAAGATTAAAACAATTTGCTATTGACTGCCAAGTGGCTAGATCTGTTACACTCGGGCCTATAGGGCCTCGAACCTCTGACCAGGCCTACACAGTCTGCAACAAAGAAAGATAATAATAATAGACCTATATTGCATGCAATTCACATATCATATTTATATACATTGGCTTATATAATTTTTATATAATTCCATAAAGTAGTGGATCAAATATTATTTATACTTTACTGAAAATTAAAGAAAATGCAAGTTGGAAAAGTTAAATTGTATTTTCAGAGTCATACAAATGATAAATAAGGGAGTTAATAAAAGTATCTGACTGGGTATAATTTTATAATCATTTGTTCTTAATCACATTATTTTTATATTTTAAGAAACTAGATGGATTTAAAATGAATGTACATTGAAAACATTCAAAATAAAGAAAATACGAATTTTAAATTTAGGTATCTCTGTATAGTATAAGGAGTTCTGGTAGTGCATTGGTTATGAGTTGGGCTGCTAACTTCAAGGTCAGCAGTTTGAAAGTACCAGCTGTTCTGTGGGACAAAAATGAAGCTTTCTGTTCCTGCAAAGATTTACAGAATCAGACACCTATACAGGGTCACTATGCATCAAAACCGACGCTACAGATAACCACCACTACCACCACTGTATATCATTGTTCAAAAATAATCTTAAAAATAGTCCTGTAAGTGTGAACAAAATTGACAAACTAATTCTATTCCCTAAATACTTCCAATGATCTTTAACTGTTGGCATGAAATCACAGCAAGACACTTGCTCATAAGGTTCAGGAGTTTGTAGTATTTTTATAGTAGTTACCAGATACCTGTTATTGTTGTTAGATGCATCGAGTCGGTTCTACTTATAGTGGTCCTCTGTACAACAGAACGAATCGCTACCCAGTTCTGCTCCACCTGCACAACTGTGCATACATTTGAACCCATCGCCACTGTGCCAGTTCATCTTGTTGGAGGTCTTCCTCTTTTTCTCTGACCCTCCACTTTACCAAGCATGATGTCCTTCTCCAGAGACTGGTCCCTCCTGATAATATGTCCAAAGTATGAGAGATGAACTTGCCATACATGCCTCTATGGAGCATTCTGGCTGTATTTCCTCTAGTCCAGATTTGTTTGTCTTTCTGACAGTCTATGGTAATTTTAATTTTCATCTCCAGCCCCATAATTCAAATGTATCTGTTCTTCTGTGTTCTAACTTATTCACTGTCCAACTTTCACATGCATGTATTATTGTTATTGAGTACCATCGAGTTGGTTCTAACTCATAGTGACCCTGTATAGAATTTTCAAGGAGTGGCTGGTGTGTTTGAACTACCTATCTTGTGGTTAGCAGTCGAGTGTTTAACCTATGAGACAAGTGAAAATGCCATTGCTTTTTACAGATGCACCTTAGTCCTCAAACTTATATCTTTGCTCTTGAACACTTTAAAGAGGTCTTGTGCATAAAAGTGGTTCATTGATTTTATTTTTTGACTGCTGCTTCCATGAATGTTGATTATGGATCCAAGCAAAATTAAATGCTTGACAACTTCTATCTTTTCTCTATTTACTTGATGTTATTTATTGGTCCAGAGATGAAGATTTTTGTTTTCTTTACATTGAGGTCCAATCCATACTGAAGACTGTAGTCTTTGATTTTCATCAGTAAGTATTTTAAATCCTATACACTTTCAGAAAATAAGGTTGTATCATTTACATATAACAGGTTGATAATGAACATTCTTCCAACTCTGATGCCACTTCCTATTCATATAATGAAGATACCCATAAAAATACAAAACACCACATATTTCAACCAGAGTTAGATTGCTAAAAACTGATCTTACCTAGCAGCAATGGCCATGATTCTACTTTTATCGTTTTAACTAGTAGTAATTTAGATTTCAGTAACTTCAGGATTTTAAATTCACTCGATTTTACTTAATCACTAAATTACTTCTATGATCCTTTTAAAAATACTGTTTTTGAAAAAAGAAAAAGACTCAAGTTGTCCATAATTAAAGCATGCAAAATGACACTTTACTTAAAGTAAAATTAAGATTATAAGCAATACCATGTAAAATGCCCTACTTTATTTTAAGTGCACTGTTTTTATAATGATCTGTCAAGATAGAGCTTTGTCTATTTAAAGATTATGTGTATTTTTCTTTAAACAATAAATTCAAGAGCTATAACTGTAAAATAAATTTGACTGAGAATTTAATTTTGACACAGTTTATGTGTTCAGTTTATGTAAAGTGGGATTTAACTAAACATTTCTGAGTTCTTGTGGCAAATATCTTTGCTCTTTTATCTGTGCAACTTTTAACCCTTGGAATATTAGTTAACCATAGCTCAACTAAGTAAACAGTCAGCATTGTTCAAGCTGAGGGAACTGAAGAAAAAAATTCAAGCCTAAACTTGAAATATTGAAGGATTTTATGGGAAAAATATATAATGATACAGAAAGCATCAAAAGATGGAAGGAATACACAGAGTCATTGTAATTTAAAAAATGGCTGATCTTCAGCCATTTCAAGAGGTATCATATGATCAAGAG